GGCTGGAGTGCAATGGCGCGATCTCGGCTCACCGCGACCTCCGTCTCCTGGGTTCAAGCAAGTCTCCTGCTTCAGCCTCCCCAGTATCTGGAACTACAGGCACACGCCACCATGCCCAGCTAATTTTTTTTTGTATTTTTAGCAGAGACAGGGTTTCACCATGCTGACCAGAATGGTCTCGATCTACTGACCTCGTGGTCCACCCACCTCAGCCTCCCAAAGTGCTGGGAACACAGGTGTGAGCCACAGCACCCGGCCTCAGGCAGTTCTTTATAGCGGTGTGAGAATGGACTAATAACGTTTTAAACAGTCATTTTTGGAAAATGCTCAATCTTTCGGAAGGCCTTTTTCTTTTTCCTCTCTGGGTGGAGGGGCCTGGGAGTGCAACATGGTGGCTGCAGGGGAAAAGGGCTCTCTTCTAGACCGTCTAGCTGTCCTCAGGAGCTTCCTGGCATCCATGGGGGTGGGGGGGCTGCTGCTCTGGGCTGGCCCCAGGGCCTTTCACCAGTGTCCATGAGGTCAACATGAGAACTTCTTTCTGGTTGGCTCTTGGCTACAACAGGCCTTGGTGGGTTTCCCAGGTAATGCCACCCCGCAGGATCTTAGGAGTTCTAGAAACTGCTCTGAGTTTAGCTGCATTTCTGTCAAATCTCTGAGGCCTCTTCAGGAGGGATGTGCTTTTCTCTGGCTGTGACAACTCCCAGGCTGGGCCTGCTGCTCTCTGTGCGGTAACCTTCGTCCCCATTCTGGGGCGAGAAAGAACTTTCCTTCATGTCATACAGGAGCCAAGGGCAGCTTGGGCCAGGTCTCTGAAGCTCTCTGTGTCTAACCACGTGCCCCTGACCCTTTCCCTTGGCTGCAGCAGAAGCTGTCCCCACCAGGTTGACAAGAATTGTGTGCTGGATTCTGGACAGAAATATAAAAAATATTAACCAGGATGCTCTTCCTTTTTGCCAAAAATCATGTGGTGCTAGATCCTGACCATTTGCATCCCTATTGTTTCTATAGATAGAATCTCTGGCATTAGAATCATAAGGCTTTGGCTTAAAAATCGCTTAAGATCCTTTTCAGACCCTGAATTCCAGCAACCACTTTAACAACCCCTGCAGAGAAACAGCATCCGGACAAGGACATGGCTTCGTCATCTCCCTGTCCCATGACTTCACCCTGCATTCTTCAACCAATCAATGATCTCCACACTTCAGCCCACTCCAAAACCCCCAAAAGCCCTAGCCCCAAACTGCTTGGGGAGATGAATGTGAGGTTTCCTGCCATCTCCTCGTTCAGCGACCGCGAGATTATACCTCTTTCTCTGCTGCAACCGGGGATCTCAGAGTATTGACTTACCGCGTGCATCAGGCAACGAACCCATCGTTCTACAGCCGCCCGTGTGGTATGGAGCCTGTTTGCACAGGAGACTCCCTCACATGGAGCCCTCTGTTTCTGGCTTTCTTCTTGCTTTTTCCGTGATGCTTTCCCCTTCTGGATTGACGCCTGAAACGGAGCTGTCACCCCAAATGTGTCAGAACCTTATCTCCTGATGTGGAGCAGGAAACACCGCCTCAAAATATGGTACCTTGGAAACTGAAAAAGCAGAAGCAAAAAGGCTACCTCACTTTTTTTTTCTATTTTTTTTTCTTTTTTTTGAGACAGAGTCTTGCTCTGTCACCCAGGCTGGAGTGCAGTGGTGCAATCTTGGCTCATTGCAACCTCTGCCTCCTAGGTTCAAGCGATTCTCCTGCTTCAGCCTCCCGAGTAGCTGGAATTACAGGCACCTGCCACCACTGAGTGACTAATTTTTTGTATTTTTAGTAAAGATGGGGTTTCACCATGTTGGCCAGGCTAGTCTCGAACTCCTGGCCTCAAGTGATTCATCTGCCTTGGCCTCCCAAAGTGCTGGGATTATAAGCATGAGCCACCACACTGGGCCTACCTCACCTTTTTCTTGCCCTTCTTCTCTGAAGCAAGTCATAAAACCTAGGAAGGTGACTCTCCGACCTTGCCCTCCTCCTCCCCTGAAAATCCTCACGTGGCAGGTGTCCTGCCCTATTCACAGGGGGAAAAATGTCACACATGAAGGCCAAGAGGAATATGAACAAGCAGGTCTTGCTAAATTCCCACCCCCCAGTTCATTCCCTCAAGATAATCCCCCTCTCCAACTGTGCTTCTGCATGACTGTACATGAAAATCCACACACCCCCTGCCAAAGAAGCTTTCATTTTCTGAAAGCTTCCGTGTCACACAGAACGTACATTAAATAAATTCCTGTGTGCTCTCATATTCATCTGTTTTTTGTTATTTGAGTCTTAGCCGTGAGCCTAGCATTGGATGAGAAAAGATATTACCTTTTCTCCCCTAGACTTTCCAACACTGCCTCACCCTCTGGGGGCAGAAGGAGTGGGCCCACCATCTTCTCTTACCTGGCAGTCACTTCTCCTTACCCGGCAGTCACTTCTTCCCCATTTCCTCCTTCTCTGACCCACCTTCCCTCACACCACAATGGCATTTGAAAAGCAGGACGAGAAACTGCCTCAGAGGAAGGGAATATCTGGAAGATTTAGACTCCTTACATTAGTTTTTTTAAAATTTAAATTAATTAATTAATTAATTTTTGATGGAGTTTCACTCTTGTTGCTCAGGCTGGAGTGTAGTGGCGCAATCTCGACCCACTGCAACCTCCAACTCCTGGGTTCAAGTGATTCTCCTGCCTCAGCCTCCCCAGTAGCTGGGATTACAGACGCACACCACCATGCCCAGCTAATTTTTGTATTTTTAGTAGAGACAGGGTTTCACCATGTTGGCCAGGATGGTCACGAACTCCTGATCTCGTGATCCACCAGCCTTGGCCTCCCAAAGTGCTGGGATTACAGGCATGAGCCACCTCGCCCAGCCAATTTTGGGGCGGGGATGACAACATCGCCTACCATACCCGGACCTCGCCCCCACTGGTTCTGTTGTTTCCTTATACAAACTTTCGAACGTTTAAGGGTTTTAAAAGCTAATTTGTCCAAGGGCACTTTCTTGCAAGTAAGCCCATTTCAAGATGCTAATAAGAAAGGAAGTTTCTTCCCAGATCCCTCCCTTGTGAAACAACAATCGCAGCCCTTCAGCCTTCCTGGGTCTGGGCTTTGATCTTTCTGCTCGCCCGAGGGGAGGAAAGTTGTAATGGCTGAGAGCTCAGAACTTAGACTTGTAAATGAGGAGCTTTCTCCTTTGCATGGTAATCAGGCCAGCGATTTGACCTTCACTTGACACTCAGAAGTCAAAACACACTCCAGACAATTCAAGTGTCAGGTGTAAAAGGATTCAAGTGTAAAAAACCAGACACATAGAATTAGGTATTTGTATATTTACAACATCTGGAGGGGTAAAGACTTCATCAACTTAGAAGTGGCAGAAGTCATAAAGAAAATAATGGGCCAATTTATCTGCATGAAATTAATTTTTAAATGAATTTGCTTTATTCGAACTGGCTGTTAGTGAAATTGGTCACAGGCAAATTGGCTTTTAAATGAATTGGTTTGAGAAAAACTGGCCAGCACTTCCTTGGGAATGGTTGCGGGAACAGAGCCAAGAGAGAAATATGTGAATAATGGCTAACTTTGTTGGAGGCAAAGACAGGATTGGTGGCTGCCTAGATACAGCAGGCAGGCAGGACGGAAGAGTCCAGCATGAACGGGAGGTTTCTGAGCCCAGGTAGCTGGGAGGGTAGTGGAACTAAGTAACCCAAGTAGGAAGCAAATCGGGAGGAGAAGACTTGGTCCTCAGAGTTGATATCACATGGGTCACCTGTCATCTAACTTTTGCCTGCGTCAGAATTACCTGGAGAGTTTGTTAAATGCATATCTCTGGGCACATCCCTAGAGTTGCTGATTCAGTCGGTCTGGGTTGGAGCTTGAATTTGCATTTCTTTTTTTTCCTTTGAGACGGAGTCTTGCTCTGTCACCAGGCTGGAGTGCAGTGGCATGATCTTGGCTCACTGCAACCTCCACCACCTGGGTTCAAGTGATTCTCCTGCCTCAGCCTCCCGAGTAGCTGGGATTACCGGTATGTGCCACCATGCCTGGCTAATTTTTGTATTTTTAGTAGAGATGGGGTTTTGCCATGTTGGCCAGGGTAGTCTCGAACTTCTGACCTCAGGTTATCCATCCACTTCAACCTCCCAAAGTTCTGGGATTACAGGTGTGAGCCACCATGCCAGGCCTTGAATTCGCATTTCTAAAAAGTTCTTAGGTGGTGCTGATGCTACTGAGCCTGGACCTCACTTGAAGAATCACCTTCTGGTTTGGGGATGAAGGCGGTGGGTAGTGTCCAGTGGAGAGTTCTTACTGTGGGGCTGGAGCCCGGGAGAGAGATCAGGGCCAGATGTGAGGACAATTGCTACCATTCCCTGTAAAGCTTCCAGTCGGTGTGCCAGTAATGAGCTGACGGGCCCAAATATTGATTATACACTAGGGTGGGGGCTGGGCAGGGGCTGGGAGACCAATGCCCCAAGGTAATTGTCTTTGGCCTGAGCAGCTGCTTCCATTTATCCCCGAATGCATACAGGCATTATCATTTTGCTAATGGAAGCAGTAATATGAAAAACTAAAATGTTGAAAAGCACTGATTTACTGAGCCCTTACTCTGTGGCAGGCCAAAGTGTTATTCCTATGAGCAAGATCCAATTATTATCCAGATTTAAGAGACGAGAAAGTGGAGGACTAGGGAGGTTAAACCACCCGTTCATTGTCATATGGCTGGTAATTGGCAGATCCTGGATTAAATCTCTGTCTGGCCCATTTCCAGACCTTGAGCTTCTAATCATTGTGCCTCTTAGAGGATTTGAACATTACCTGCATAGAGGTGATATTTAAAACCATGAGATTGGATGACACTCAAGCAAGACGGAATAGAGAGAAATATCCAAGTACAGTACGTTGGGGAACATTTAATCTAGGGGATGAGGGGAAGAAATGGAGTCCCAGAGGATGTTACAGAAATGAAAGGAGAAGAAAGCATGAAGAAAGAAAAAGAATTTAATTAGTATCGTATGTCTTGCAGTTGTCAAGAAAGAAAAACAAATCAAAAAGGTTACAAAATTCTGAGACTAAGATGACTGTTCTCGAACTGCTTCGCCAGAGAGGTGAGGATGGAAAGCGAATGTCTGGTGATCTACTGGTGCTTAGCAAACAATCTCAGACGTAGCACCTGAAAATAGTAGCATCATTTATTGTTTCTCACATTTCCGAGTGTTGACTGGGCTTAACTGGGTGGTCCTTCAGCTCCAGACGGTGTTGGTGAAGGGAGGGGAGGAGGGGGGCGACACGGGGAGGCTGCAGTCATCTGGAGGCTTGATTGGAAAGAACATCGCAAATGGCTCATTCACCTGACTGGCTGTCAGTGCTGGCTGTTGGCTGAGAAGCCAGCTGAGTCTGTTGGCCCCAGAGCCTCAGTTATCCCCCGCAACCCACAGTTTATGCGTGAGGCTGGGCTTCTCACAGCATGATGGTGGGATTCCAAGAAGATCTGTTCCAAGTGCATAAAAGTCAAAGCTCTCTCTTAAGTTGCTCTCTTAAGTCTGTCTCTGAAGTTACATACTAGTGTTTCAACCACATTCTGTTAGTAAAAAGAAGCCAGGAGGTCAACCCAGATTCAAGGGAAGGGGAAGCACACTCCACTTCTTAATGGGAGGAGCGGCCAAAAATTTCAGGCTATTTAAAATTCATCACAGGGTAGATGGTAATAATATGAATGTAGGTAATATGGATTATTTTCTCATCAAGAAATATTATAACAGGCTGGACGAAGTGGCTCACGCCTGTAATCCCAGCACTTTGGGAGGCCAAGTCTGGTGGATCACCTAAGGTCAGGAGTTCGAGACCAGCCTGGCCAACATGGTGAAACCCCATCCCTACTAAAGATACAAAAATTATCTGGGTGTGGTGATGTGCCTGTAGTCCCAGCCACTTGGGAGGCTGAGGCAGGAGAACTATTTGAACCTGGAAGGTGGAGTTTGCAGTGAGCCGAGATCATGCCTCTGTACTCCAGCCTGGGAGATTCTGTTAAAATAAATAAATAAAAGAGAGAGAGAGAAATATTCTAACAAAGGGAAGAGGAGAACAATGGTGGTTGTTTGAGAGCACGGTTTCGGGGAAGGATTTTCTTAGGTATACCAGATGAATTAGCCGTGTGGGGCTGTATAGCACTTTAGGTAACATCCCATCACCTTTGCCGTATTTTTATTGTTAGAAGCAAATCATAGGCCCTACCTGTGAGGGGACATACACAGTCAGGAACACCTGGAGGCAGGATTACAGAGCCATCTTAGAGGCTGCCTGCCACAGAAGACTGACATTTCATAATAGTCTGGAAGGCAATGGTGAGAGTAGAAGGAAAATCAATCTTAAGAGAGGGTCAGGGACAATTGGTAGACAGGGTTTACAGTTACATGTGGCCAGATGTGGTATCTCATGCCTGTAATCCCAGCACTTTGGAGGCCAAGGTGGGCGAATCACAAGGTCAGGAGTTCGAGTCTAGCCTGGCCAGCATGGTGAAATGCCATCTCTACTAAAAATACAAAAAATTAGCCGGGCATGGTGGTGTGCACCTGTAATCCCAGCTACTCTGGAGGCTGAGGCAAGGGGAATCGCTTGAACCCAGGAGGCGGAGGTTGCAGTGAGCTGAGATTGCGCCACTGTACTTCAGCCTGGGCAACAAGAGCAAGACTCCATCTCAAAAAAAGGTTACATGTAAGTTAGATTTGGAAAAGGACCTTTTTGTTTTCAATATATACGAAAGGGAGAGAATAGGAGAAAATAAGAGAAGTTTTGAAGTAGGAAGAAGGCAGTTTCTAGGAAAGCTCACATCAATGAACCTCTATCTTCCCCGTAAATCGGGAGATGGGATTGTTTGCTGAGTCTGACTGTTGAGGAGGGATTCATGCTTTGAGGAAAATGGAAAATATTTGAAACAGAGACGATGGGAAATGTCATAGATGGTGATTAAAGTGAAAATAGGGAGAGGAAAGGATAATTAACAGCAGACAGAGTCAGCTTAAGTTGTTTCATATGAATCATTTTAGAACTGTTGGCCAGCAATTTTAGATACGGGCTGATTATGGGACTTAAGCTGTGTAAGAAGGCAAATGAGGTTAAGAATAAACAAACATGGTAAGAACAGAGCTTAAAGAGCACATTTCCATGAGGGGAAATGGTAGCCTCAATAGGGCCGAGGGCGTAGTAAAGGGAACTTTACAAATTCTGAATCTTACTTGAATTTCCAGCAAAATATGTAGCCCTGTTCTGTCTCCTCCCTGCTTCACAGGCTGTGCGCTTTGTGTTTTTCCTGCTTTTCTGGAATCTTGGTCTGGTTCAGCCTCTCTCATTCCTCTGTTCATCTTCCAGCTAAAGGTGACCAGCAGGGTTCTCCTGTAGGTCTGCTTCGGGGTGATTTCCTCCACTCCCGTGGATTTAATGACTCTCTCAAAGCTGCCAGATTGCAAAAGTTATGTCTCTAGTACAGATTTCCTCATTAATTTCAGCCTATGCCCAGCTGTCTGCATGACCCACAGGCATTAAAGCTGGACATTTCAAAAAAATAGAAGGCATTATTTTCTTTCCCCTTCTCTGTGGCCGTTCTTCCACTCTCTCTTCCAGCACACTTTGCTAGATCACTCTATCGGGCTCTTATGCTGCCTCACTGCTTCTCCTCCCCCTCCTCCTCCTCCTTCTCCTCCTCCTCTTTCTTCTTCTTCTTCTTTTTTTTTTTTTTTTTTTTTTTTGAGACAGAGTTTCACTCTGTTACCCAGGCTGGAGTGCAATGGCACAACCTCAATTCACCACAACCTCTGCCTCCTGGGTTCAAGTCATTCTCCTGCCTTAGCCTCCTGAGTAGCTGGGATTACAGGCATGTGCCACCATGCCCAGCTAATTTTTAGTAGCGATGGGGTTTTTCTATATTGGCAATGCTGGTCTTGAACTCCTGACCTCAGGAGATCCTCCCTGTTCGGCCTCCCAAAGTGCTGAGATTACAGGCATGAGCCACTGTGCCTGGCCCTGCCTCACTACTTCTAATACTGATTCCTACAACCTATTTCCTCCCTGTAGCCAAAGGGATCTTGCAAACTGCAAATCTTATTATGTCAACACACCTTCCCACTCACCCCAACACAGAGATACACACCACTTAAAATCTGTCCTATTGCCCGCAGGGTAAGTAATAAAGAACAAGGATTTACTGAGAGCTTTACTTTGTGTCAGGTACTATAATTTGCATTTGTTTTTTAATGGAGTCTTGCTCTGTCACCAGGCTAGAGTGCAGCAGCACAATCTCTGCTCACTGCAACTTCTGCCTCCCATGTTCAAGTGATTCTCCTGCCTCAGCCTCCCAAGTAGCTGTCATTACAGGTGTGCACCACCACGCCCGGCTAATTTTTGTATATAATTTACATTTTACAAATACAAATTCATCAGCATGCTCTTTCAGGATGTTCATTATCTGGTCCTAGTCTAACTCTGCAGCCTTATCCTTATCTGTTCCTTCCTCTTTACCTGGCTCCTCCAAATCACCCTTGAAGATGACTTGGGTTATTATTACCCCTAGGGAGCCTCCCCTGTCCTAGGTTCAACCTCCCTTAGGGAACTACAGTATTAACCTCATTTGTCTGTCTCCAACGCCACTCTGTCTTATTAGTTATTACACCTGCAATGTCTTTCACAGTGCCTGGTTCATAGCAGATGCTCAATAAATATTTGCCGAGTGAACGAGTGAATCTTGAAAGTAAAACAATTCTGGCTGGGCATGGTGGCTCATGCCTGTAATCCCAGCACTTTGGGAAGCTGAGGCGGTCGGATCACAAGGTCAAGAGATCAAGACAATCCATGCCAACACTGTGAAACTGCATCTCTACTAAAAAATACAAAAAATTAGCTGGGTGTTGTGGTGCGCACCTGTAGTTCCAGCTACTCTGGAGGCTGAGGCAGGAGAATTGCTTGAACCCGGGAGGCAGAGGTTGCAGTGAGCTGAGATCACGCCACTGCACTCCAGCCTGGCGCCTGGAGACAGAGTGAGACTCTGTCTCAAAACAAAACAAAACAACACAAAACAAAACAATTCCACATACTGAGAGAGTTCAAAGGAGTGGCTCTACCTGTGTGTGGCTCCACGCCTCCCCCTAGCTTTTTCCATGTTGGCAACTTTTTCACATGTTTAAAAAATAGATGTCTAAGGCTGGGTGTGGTGGCTAATACCTGTAATTCTAGCACTTTAGGAGATTGAGGCAGGCAGATCACTTGAGCTCAGGAGTTGAAGACGAGCCTGGGCAACATGGCAAAACCCTGTCTCCACTAAAAATACAAGAATTAGTCAGGCATGGTGGCATGTGCCTGTAGTCCCAGCTACTTGTGGGGCTGAAGCAGGAGGATCACTTGAACCCGGGAGGTTGAGGCTACAGTAAGCCAAGATAGCACCACTACACTCCAGCCTGGGTGACAAAAGTGAGACCCTGTCTCAAAATAAGTAAATAAATATACTGGGCCGGACACAGTGGCTCACGCCTATAATCCCAGCACTTTGGGAGGTTGAGGTGCTCAGATCACCAGGTCAGGAGATCCAGACCATCCTGGCTAACACAGTGAAACCCTGTCTCTAATAAGAAAAAAAAAAATTAGTCAGGCATGGTGGCATGCACCTGTAGTCCCAGCCATTCAGGAGACTGAGGCAGGAGAATCTCTTGAACCAGGAGGCAGAGATTTCAGTGGGCTGAGATTGTGCCACTGCACCCAGACTGGGTGATAGAGCAAGACTCTGTCTTAAATAAATAAAGTAAAAGAAAAAGGAAACCTAATATGTAATTTTAAGTTACATTGTGAGGTTTCATAATCCCCTACTGTTACCCACAAATCTTTAGTAGGGCCCACAATAGAACAAAGCCTTAAAGGAATATGGTTTGGGAAGAAATATATGTTCGACAGCCGTGTGCCCTACTTGGTTACTGGACCATACAGGTCAGGTGTTAAATTCAAGAAGCAAGGAATTCGAGAGATTTAGAATTGCATAGAAGAGAACATAGTAGCTAGACGTGACTAGGCAAAAACATAAGCCTGTGAAGTCCCTGGACACACTAGGAGGGTCAGAGAATTTCCCGTAACAAATGAGCTGGGGATTCAAGCCAATTTTATTTGAATCTCAAAGCACAAAGTGACCCTAGTAGACAATGGAGTTGAGAAAATCAAATGCATGTCTGCAATTATTTTTATCGTTATGTTCTTCTTTAAAGCCCTGATATCGAGAAGCAGTCCAGATCATTATATTCTTACTCAAGCCCTTCTGGATTGTTTTTAGCTACATGGAAGAGATAGGAGGGGAGGATTCACAAAACATTTGGGTAAGGACAATATATTTTTTAGAAGAATCAAACAGAACTGTGGATGAGATCATTTTAAGTCTTTGCAGAAGAGCTCAAAGGAAACTTATCCTGGACAGACTGTAAAATTTGGTTTTGTAGAATTCAAGGGATATGTATTTTTTGAGATGGAGTCTCTGTTGCCCTGGCTGAAGTGCACTGGCACAATCACAGCTCACTTCAGCCGTTACCTCCCAGGCTCAGGTGATCCTCCTACCTCAGCCTCCCTAGTAGTTGGGATTACAGGTGCTTGCCACCATACCCAATGATTTTTATATTTTTTGGTAGAGACATGGTTTCACCATATGGCCCAGGCTGATCTCAACCTCCTGGGCTCAAGTGATTCTCCCACCTCAGCCTCCCAAGTGCTGGAATTACAGCTGTGAGCCACCACATCTGGCCTGTTTTATTTTTCTTACCAATTATTGATAAACATGTGCCTTCCCTTGCTTCTCTACTTTCTAGCTCCATCTCTCTTACGTTAGATGCAGTGTCCTGGGCACTTTTGACACTCACTGTGGGGGATCACACCCCATTCGACTGAGATGGAAGTGAGGGTTTACGAGGGAGTGTCCAGATCAGGGAAAGAGGACCTGTGTGATCCTGCCTGGAGGCCAGCATGATAAATGAATGAGTGAGAGCAGTGGTTCTCAAAGTGAGGTCCTCAGGCAAGCGAATCCTCATCACCTGGGATGATGCTTGTGAGCAAGGTGAATCACGAACTGCAACTCAGATGTACCAAATCAGCGTCTCAGGGTAGGGTACTGAGATCGCTGTTTTCACAAGCCCTTCAGGTGAGCCTGACCCATATCAAAGCTGAGTTTTTGCCTGAGTATTTTAGTAACCAGAAGCAAATGTATGTACTTAGATTAGTACTTAATCTATGTACTTAGATTATTTTTCTACTCTCTTCTGCCAAAATGCTTTCTACTGAGATAGTCTAAGAAGTTACATTTTTAAAGTAATCATGAAGAAAATACATATCTTGCCAGGTGTGGTGGCTCACACCTGTAATCCCAGCACTTTGGGAGGCAGAGGCAGGCAGATCACCTGAGGTTGGGAGTTTGAGACCAGCTTAACCAATATGGAGAACCCCCATCTCTACTAAAAATACAAAATTAGCCTGGTGTGGTGGCGCATGCCTGTAATCCCAGCTACTCAGGAGGCTGAGGCAGGAGAATCACTTGAACCTGGGAGGTAGAGGTTGTGGTGAGCTGAGTTCATCGCGTTGCACTCCAGCCTGGGCAACAAGAGTGAAACTCCGTCTCAAAAATAAAACAAAAACAAAAAATGAAAGAACATATCTTGAGAACATTGAGAAAACGTAACAGCCACTAATGAGGCTCTATGGTCAATGAAATTTGGTCAACACAATTCCAGGAGAACTCAAGACAGAGTAGGAGAGCCTCCTACCTCTATGACTTCCCCCTTCATCACCCACATCTCAGGTTTCAGTCATTACTTTTCTAGTGAAAACTATAAAAATCGTCCCACTTCCTTTTTGGATTCACCACAATCACTTGCATGAACTTCACTTTTTAATTTAATTAATTATTATTTTCTTTTTGGGATGGAGTCCCACTCTGTCGCCCAGGCTGGAGTGCAGTGGAGAGATTTCACTGCAACCTCTGCCACCCAAGTTCAAGTGATTCTCCTGCCTCAGCCTCCCAAGTGCCTGGAATTACAGGCACCTGCCACCATGCCCAGCTAATTTTTATAGTTTTTAGTAGAGATAGGGTTTCACCATGTTGGCCAGGCTGATCTTGAACTCCTGACCTCCTGATCTACCTGCATCAGCCTCCCAAAGTGCTAGGATTACAGGTGTGAGCCACCGCGCCCAGCCGAGTTCACTTTTTCCTTTTATTTTTTGCTAGGCTTCCTGAAAGCATGGGGTGAGTTCACTTTCAAGCGCCTGGGTGTCTGCTAAGCTACAGAGCAGCCTTTTTTCTAGCATTTCGGCCCTGTCATGTTTAACTTCTCTATTGAGATTGGGCATGAGGGGGTGGACAAGAAGTGGTGACAGTTACATTCACATGAAGGGAAACTGGGAGGCGTGAGTTCAACAAATAGTCATAATCATTTTGTGTGCAATGCAATGTGACAGGAAGGAATACAGATAAATGCCTAAAATGCAGTAAAAATGGTATGACGAGGGTGTGTATGCAACACAGAACACATAGGTGAGGAGCAATGAATGGGATGATGGAGAAATGGATTAGGAGAGGTTCAGAAAGGAAGTAACATTGGCACTGGTCCTTAAAGTCAAGTTCAACA